CTGGTAATTGAGTGCACGCTAACACACACACACACACACACACACACACACACAGAGATATACAGACTGTATGTAGTTCAGTATTTGTAACATGTCTAATAATCTTGGAAACAGACAATCCATTAATTAAATAATGATTAAAGAATAAGAAAGTAGCCTAATATAAAACTAGTGTTATAGGCTGCTGATTTGCGGTCAAACTGTAATATTTTACGTCCTCCGTTACAGACAAGGTGCAGCTGACCTTCATGCAAATAAAGCAATCCCATCATTCCCAGTAAAATAAACTTGCCGTGTGTCTTTCCTTTCCAACGGCTGCGCATTTCAAGACATCATCCTGGAGGCTCGCTACGGCTCTCAGCACCGCAAACAGCGCCGGAGCCGCACGGCCTTCACCGCACAGCAGCTGGAAGCGCTGGAGAAGACTTTCCAGAAGACCCACTACCCGGATGTGGTGATGAGGGAGCGGCTGGCCATGTGCACCAACCTGCCCGAGGCCCGTGTGCAGGTACGCCCAACCGGACAACACTGTGCAGTACACACACACATATATATATATGTGATATGTATGTTTGTAGCAATAGATAGTGAGTTTAATTGTGGTTTTATTACGTGCATCTTTTGTATTATTTCCGCAGTTTTAATGCAGGGTTCCTATCTTATGGGAACTGCTACAGTTTTTTGTAGTATTTGTTTATTATCAACCGATATTTATGGGGGTGGACTAGCCTGTTATTTTGGGATGTCACTTTTTTCATTGGTTGTAAAAAAATTATGGGATTAATCAAAATAATAGAGAAAGAAAATAAAACAATATGCCTACTTTAATTGTCTGCTGCTTTAATAAAAAAAATCTTACATAGTTTTAGTTGAAAATAGTGACGTTTGCATTATTTAGAAAAAAATTCAAACTTTTTAAGGAGTGCCTTAGTCACACTCGGTGAAGCTTAACTTATTCCTGCAAAACAGAAAATGGAAGTTATCCATCTGAATACAAAAAAATAAAAAGTATAAATTCAAATGCTGCTTTTGATTTAAGTTTAAGTTTATTTAATCATTTTAAACTGTAAGTTATTCTGTTACAGCCTTGTATACAGGCTTGTTATTGCTGTATTGACTTTTTGGGCTTTTCATTGGCTGCTCAATCATTTGATGCTCACTGAAATAAATTGACTGTCACAGTTTTCATCCACTGTTGTACTTCTTTTCTGCTTGTTCTCCCTCTAACTCTCCCTCTTCATCCCTCTGCCATCAGGTTTGGTTCAAAAACCGCAGAGCCAAGTTTCGTAAGAAGCAGCGCAGCCTCCAGAAGGAGCAGCTCCAAAAGCAGAAGGAGGCATCAGGGGAAGGAGGAAGTGAGAAGGAGGACACACCTCCCTCTACAACTATCCTTCCTGACACCCAGCTCCCTCCTTCATCCTCCTCCTCCTCCTCCTCTTCTCTGGAGACAGAGGGTCCTGTAGTCCGTCCCGTACCGCTGGACATGGAGCTGAACGTCACGTCAGCAGAACACTCTGGCAGCGAGTCAGCGACGGAGGATAATGCGACTGATAAGGAAGACGAGAGTAAATCTCAGAGAGAGGAGGTGAAGTGTGAGAGAGCTATGACTCCTGGGGACGTCTCTCCGGCTTGCAAAAGACTCAGCCCTAAACCAGGTAAGAACATTGGACACTTGGTTTTTACTGCGACAAGGAATTCCTGTCCTTATAATGTGATCTCTCATGTGCTGACTATAATACTATACTATAAATAATTAGATGTATCTCTTTTTTCCCTCCCCAGACTCTCCCCTGGTCTCTCCGTCCGTGACCCCCTCTTCCTCCAGCGGTGGCCTGGCCAGCAGCGGCCCCCTCTCTCAGGGCCACTCTTACTCTTCCTCCCCTCTCAGCCTGTTTCGCCTGCAGGAGCAGTTTCGCCAGCACATGGCTGCCACTAACAACCTGGTGCACTACCCTGCTTTTGACCTTTCTGCCCCATCTTCTCTCCCCTACCTGGGGATGAATGTCAACATGCCCCCCGCGCCGCTGGGCTCTCTGCCCTGCCAGTCTTACTACCAGTCCCTGTCCCATCACGCTCAGCAGGTATGGAACAGCCCGCTGCTGCAGGCGTCTGCTGCAGGCGGCCTCACCAGCCACAACAACAAGACCACCAGCATCGAGAACCTGCGTCTGAGGGCCAAGCAGCATGCTGCCTCACTGGGACTGGACACAATGTCTAACTGAGAATCAGATTGTATGGAGGACAATGTAAAGTAGGCCAGAGACTCGGCCTACCCGTCATCCCATCCTACTGCGTGTCTGTGTGACTGTGATAGTTCTTTAGGAACCATATACTAAGCCCTTCCTGAGGCCATGGGCACAGGACATGCAGAGATACAAAAATAAAACATGACAACATGCACTGGACCTACAGAACTCCATTTAACAGCTTTTTAAGTCAGACCACATGTCCACAGCTTCTTTGACTCCTCTAAGCTTCCGTTGCAGCTCAACATCCAGAAGTGTAACCTCGGAAATAGAAATCCCACAAGATATTAAACTCGAATAATGCGACGGGTCAACTGAATGTCCCGACTCAGGAGACAGTGAACATGTTCCTGACTCATATGAAGACGTTTCCAACAGACATGTAATGCTGGACCTTCTTCACATCTGAAATAATAAAAAAAACAAAACAGAGAATGATGAACACAAACACACACACACACCAAACACCATGGATGCACTCAGATTAAAAGACAATAGAAACAATGTTTACAAGGATAATGTGAATAAATGAGGCACTTTTGAAGGAATTAGGCTCGTTGGCCAGGAAGAAAAAGGCAGCGCTCGTGCAGCAAAGAGACCATTATTGTCACAGGACCATTGACATTTCAATTAAGCAGCGCTGGTTATGTACATAGCATGTACTACATAACAGCACATAAATAAAAATAAACTTCAAGCCATGTTGTCCTCAACAGCATAATTAAAAGTGACTAATTTACCAGTTTAATGGCCAGTAATATTCCACTTTGTACAGAGGCTGGCTTGATAATGAGAAAATGATTTCAGTGACTAAATTCTCAGAGCTTTTAATTACATTTTGCCCTGGGCTGAGGGAGCTGGGGCAAATGCAATTATGAACATGCATACCATTTAAGACCGCGTTTATAAATTCAAAAGGTCTGTGCATTAAAACGGTCAATTAAGGTAGCAACATGACTGACATCACTTTACCATGAGTTGATCAATTTCCTTTGAATACAAAATGATATGGTAAACAAATTTGGACTTTTGGATAAATGTCTCGGCCCATATTTTATTCCCGCCTTAATATTCTCTTGAGGAAACATGCAGCTTTTCATTGAAAGTCAGACTGACTGTTAGCACTTGATGAGGAGAATCACACACGTCTCTGATGTTTTCTGTTAATGTGTTCTGGAAGCTAATGTCTTCATATGAAAAAAATGCACATTATTTTAGTATGTAAAATAAAAAAACTCTATCTATTAATGTTTACTGGTAAGGTAATTGTAAAGTTCCTATTATGGTGTATAATTGATTATGGACTCAAATTCCTTTAGCTGTCAGATTGTAAGATTGTATTTGCTGAGCTCACCGGCAGCCCTGTCTTCCCCTCCTCTCTTGGTTGTCTGTGTAATGGTCCTGGGTTGAAATAATATTTTATGTGTTCACTTTCTTCTCTGGAAGTGTCTGGAAAGAAGCAATTGAACAAATTTGGATTGAAGGAAGACTGCCACCTTCTTTATCTTACAATCCAGACTGAAAAGCCTGAAGTCAAAGAAAGTGATTTCAGTGAATAATTGACCCACGTCCTCTGTGTACTGCTGTCTTGACTCTATTTGAGTTCTGTTGTTGCTATTATTCTAATGCTGCCCCCCCACTGTCTCTGTCAAACTACTTGGTCCAGTGGTAGATAGATTTATAATGGTGGAGGAGAGAGTGAGTGGACCATCAGCAGTGTTGTTTCTTTGCTCCTCCCTAACAATGTAGACTTGAACTAGTGTTGTTGTAAAATAATCTCAAATAAAAACCTTGCTTGGAGATGTTTATAATGAAGACTTCTCTATCTGTGCTGCATATTTACACAGTGATGTGATGGTGATAGCTTGACCGGAGCGTTCTTCAGATCTGCGACACAAATGTGATTAAACAGCATGAATTTAGAAGTAGAGAAAAGCGTCAGGATATTATGTTTGAATGTTGTTAATTTCAGTGTGTAGGAAGACCTATTGATTGAGTTGGTTTGCATACTTGCAAATGTGAAATATGAGTAAAAGTAAAATATTTAAGGTGACATCAGTTTGGCTTTTTTTCTGTCTCACTAATGAGTGTAAGAGAGAAAAGGTGATGGTGATAGCAAAAAGAAATGGCAAGGTGAAGAAAAGCATCAAGACAATGCAGGGATGGCAAGGTCAAATTAAGAGAGCAGTAAAAAAATAAAATGTATGAGAACTTGCAGGAAGACAAAGACTACGTGAGCAAAACAGGCAGGAAAAGAACAACGTAATCTGAAAAATTTGAAAAATAAAAAAGCCGCATGGAGACATAAGCCATCCCCAATGAATAAGCAGGCCATTATCCTGAAGAATGACGGCCCGGGGCGGTGATTATGCTGCTATTATATCTTTAACAGCATGGTTTGTCAAAATGCACAGACCCCCACCCAACCCTGCCCTCTCTCACACACACACACAATGTAGCAATTGTGCATCTCTGCTGCCTCCTCCAGAATGTGCCCTTGCTCTTCCCACAGTAAAGTTTACATGTACTGTTAAGTGCATCGCCCCAGCTGTATGACATTGCTCTGCTGTTAATTGAATTGGCCTTTAACATATATTTTCCCCCCTCAGCGTGTGTAAATAACAAATGCACCTCGGCTGCTGCACTGAGCAGTTTGTATCCGACCGTTATGAATGACCACCATCCAAAAATCGGATAGAGGAGGATGATGATCTCACCAGATTAGCAGCGTTAATGTGGATGTAACACCTCACCCTAACCTTGTTGTTTTTTATTACACCACATTCAGTACGTGTGTGTGTCCTCGACCAAGGGCGTCCTGATTGTGTGACTGATAAGATTGTGGTGTGGATATGCAGCAGCAGTGAATGTCCTTGTTATCCAGAGTAGGAATCTGTCCAGGTACATGGCAAGATTTCCTCCCATGGGGCCATCTGGACCAGAGAACATAACACAATACTCTTGTTCTCTCTTTTCTTAACACCCATCCCCCCCCCCCCCCCCAAAA